TTCAACTTTTCGCTTGAATTCATCATTCGATGGATCAGCATTACCAGGTCGAGTTCATAATGAGAAGAACTCATCTGAAGAAGGAAGAAGAAGTTCATAATGAGAAGAATTTGTTCAACCTTTTGCTTGAATTCATCACTCGATGGATCAACTTTTCCAGAGAAAGTTCATAATGAGAAGAACTCATCTGAAGTAGGAAGAAGAAATTCATAATGAGAAGAAATTGTTCAACCTTTTGCTTGAATTCATCACTCGATGGATCAACTTTTCCAGAGAGAGTTCATAATGAGAAGAATTCATCTGAGGAAGGAAGAAGAAGTTCATAATGAGAAGAACTTGTTCAATCTTTTGCATGATTCTATCACAGAAGGAGATAGATCAGCATCAACATTTCCAGATTACATCACATAAGGAGATAAATTATCATCCCCGGTGGAAAAGTTCATAATAAGAAGAACTAATCCCAAAGAAGAATTTGTTCAACATTCCCTTCATAATCAAGTAAAGTCAAATGAAAAAAACTTATTATCTTTTCATCTTTGCTCTATTCTTATTAACACAAGAATAAACAAAGAGGGGCAGCTGAAGATACTCATTTTTTTCATTTGAATATTATTTATATTATTATTATTATTATTATTCTTATTATATATTATTATTATTATTAAAAAAATAATTACAAACCGACCCAGACCCAAAAGGAAACCCTAAACCAATTTAGGGTTTCAGCTAGGGTTTCCAAACCCTAGCTCTCAGCCGCCGCTTCCAGTGAGTTCCAGCCGCCCCACGTCTACACTGCCGAAGCCTCCAGAAACACCACGAAGCCACACACGTTGAAGCCCTATGGTGAGTCACCACTATAGCTATGGTGAGTCACCACTATAGCTATGGTGACTCACCGAAGCTTCCCTCTTTGGACTGGTCCGATCCGACCACTGTGGTGGCTATAAAAAGCCACCACCAAACCTGAAAAATGAGGACAGAGAGGGAGAATCGGAGAAAAACGGGGAGCAAGAACAAAGAGAGATACGAATATCAACCAAAAAGCCAGAGACCAACGGCAAGCAACCACCCAAAGCAGTCAAATATTGAAAGAAAAAAAAGGAGAGAAACTTACCGAGAAAGCCACGACCATCGGATCCCTCCAAACCGTCGTCGAACAGTGAAAATACCGAAGGTATTTTCTTAGATCTAGAAAATTCCGGGGATTTTTAGGATAAACGGAGGCCATATTTGCTTTAGAAGGTCGAGATCTATGCTCTAGGGTAGTTTAGGAGTTCCAGTCACTGTGAGCGGTGGCCGGCGGTGGCAATCGGCGCCGGAAACGGAGGTCGGTTTTCTCTTCCGGCGAGAGAAAACGAGAGCTTAAAGAGAGAGAAGCAAAATCAGAGAATGAAATAAATGGCCCGAAGGGCCAGCCGTTTGGGTATTTAAAACCCTCCCCAAAAGACGTCGTTTTGGGGAGGGTATCTGTGTAATTTCACATATGGGTAAACCTCATCCGCAGTCCATCATTTTTGTAACTTTACATTTTAGTCACTGAATCAAATTTATGATCCTTTTAATTTGGTCTCTAAATTTATTTATTTATATTTTAGCCCTTAACCGTAATTATAAATATTTTAGATAAAATACGTATTTAGTCCTTTAGTTTTAATAATTAATATTTTAATCCCGAGTACATATTTTTAATTTATTTTAATCTGATATTCGAATTTTATATAATTTTAGTTTAGTCATTAAATTAATAAATAAGGAAAATAGCATATTTAGTCACTCATTTTTTAAATACTTAATTACGAATTAGGTATTTAATTTTTTTAGATTATAATTTAGTCACTAATTTCAATTTTTTATTTTAAATATATAGTTTTAATTTTGTCCATTGTTTAGTTTTATGTTAATTTTATATGTTTACTTTTTATTATTACTATTATTACTATTATTTAACTATATATATATATATATATATATTTATATAATAAATAATATGTATTTTATCTTAGTTAATTATTTTTAACTTATTTTAATCCTATTTTAATATTTATTTATTTTCCAATATTAAGAAAGGGCAGTCTTAAAATAACTGGATGTCCATTTTCTGATATTTTTAAATAAATAAATATCGTATTTTATAAATTATATATTAATTGCTTTAATTATTTATTTATTTTTATCAAAGAAAAGAGTTGTCTTAAGGCACCTAGAAGTCTTTTTCTGATATTTCTAAATAAATAAATATTTTATTTATAAATATATATAAATTAATATATATTTTTCATAATTATAATCTTAAAATAATAGGATTATAAATTAAATATATTTTGAATTTTTAATTTCTAATAATAGAGAATTTTTAATTAAAAAGTACCAATTTTGGGCGTTGTAGGGGTGCTAATCCTTCCCTAAACGTGACCGACCACAAATCCCTTTTTATTATTAAAAAAACAAATTTTTGGTTAAAACGCAGATCAGTTTATCTTTTAATCGATGTTTTCTTAAAAACTCTTTTAAAAGATGATTTTTAGGTATTCGACCTACCTGACCCAAAAGGCCGATGGCGACTCCCAAATTATTTTAAAAACCATTTATTCACATCACTTTTCTCGCCAAATAAATATTTCGTGCCCGGACGAAAACCGGTTACGACAGCAGGGCTCTGTTCGATCTCAATGAAATACTGAAAAGGATTCCTCCGGACAGTCCATTGGCACCGCAGTGGTATAGATTGGAGGATCGAAAGGGTAATAAAGCCAAGGGAGAGCTCATGCTTGCTGTCTGGATGGGAACTCAAGGAGAGAGGCATTTCCCGATTCATGGCATTCGGATGCTGCATCGGTTGGTCCTGATGCCGTCTCAAACATCCGATCGAAAGTCTATCTTTCCCCCAAGCTTTGGTATGTGAGGGTGAATGTGATTGAAGCTCAAGACTTGGTACCAACCGATAAAAGCAGGTTCCCTGAGGTTTTCGTGAAAGCAGTTCTTGGAAATCAGGCTTTGAGAACTAGAGTATCTCAAAGTAAGACTATCAACTCAATGTGAAATGAGGATTTAATGTTTGTAGCTGCTGAACCTTTTGAGGAGCCTTTGGTTCTAAGTGTGGAAGATAGGGTCGGATCCAACAAGGATGAAACCTTGGGCATGTGTATGATCCCTCTCCATATCTTACAGAGAAGGCTAGACCATAAACCGGTGAACAGTTGGTGGCTCAATCTCGAGAAACACATTATTGTTGATGGAGAGAAAAAAGATAAAATTTGCAAGAAGGATTCACTTGAGGATCTGTTTAGAAGGAGGGTTTCATGTTTTGGATGAATCTACACACTATACTAGTGATCTTAGGCTGACAGCAAAACAGTTATGGAGACCAAGCATTGGAATTCTGGAACTGGGCATTCTAAGTGCTCATGGACTAATGCCAACGAAAACGACGAGGAACCACAGATGCTTATTGTGTGGCCAAGTATGGGCAGAAATGGATCCGGACTAGGACGATCGTTGACAACTTTATGCCACGGTGGAAGGAGCAGTACACTTGGGAGGTTTTTGACAATTGTACTGTCATTACAGTGGGCGTTTTTGACAATGGTTGTATACATGGGGGATTGGGAAGGTACGGATACGGTTTTCTACACTTGAAGCTGATAGGGTCTATACTCACTCGTACCCCCTTTTGGTGCTGCATCCTTCAGGGGTTAAATAGACTGATGAAATTCAATTGGCTTTGAGGTTCACCTGCTCGAGCTTATTAACATGCTGCATATGTATTCACATCCACTATTGCCTAAGATGCACTACATTCATCCGCTGTCTGTGATTCAGCTTGATGTCTTGAGGCACTATGTAGATTGTCTAGATGAGGCTAAGTCGGGCTGAGCCACCATTGAGGAAGGAAGTTGTAGAGTACATGCTTGATGTCGATTCGCTTATGTGGAGCATGAGGAGAAGCAAAGCAAACTTCTTCAGAATCATGGGAGTTCTGAGTGGGTTGATTGCTGTTGGAAAATGGTGTAACCAAATCTGCAACTGGAGAAACCTCTTACAGCCATTTTGATTCACATCCTTTTCATTATATTGGTTCTTTATCCCGAGCTGATACTTCCCACAGTTTTTCTCTACCTTTTCCTAGTCGGAATCTGGAACTTCCGCTGAGGCCACGGCACCCTCCTCACATGGACACGCGACTCTCTCATGCTGATGCTGCTCGTCCTGATGAATTAGATGAAGAGTTTGATACCTTCCCCACTTCTCGGCCTTCCGATATTGTCCGAATGAGATACGATCGTATAAGAAGCATAGGAGGCAGAGTTCAGACCGTGATCGGTGACCTCGCAACTCAAGGGGAAAGATTCCAGTCTCTACTAAGCTGGAGGGACCCTAGAGCAACCACTGATCGCCGCCTTGGTTCTTTACATCGCGTCATTCCAAGTCATCACTCTTCTCATGGGTCTTATGTCTTACAGCATCCGAGGTTCCGCCACAAGCTTCCGTCTACACCTCTTAACTTCTTTAGGAGGTTGCCTGCGAGATCAGACAGTATGTTATGAGCTAAAGTCAATGTGCTTACCGTCTCCTTGTGTTGGTGACAAATTCATGGTTTTGTTATAAATTGTGTAATTTTCATTTTCCTTATTTAGTAATCTTCATGCTGCAGTCTGGTTTTATGCTTCTTTCCTCCTGTCAATCTGTTGTATCTTATGTCGTCAATTTCTAGATTTCAACCACAATTCCATTTCTCTCGTTCCCAAGCGTTCGGTTTCAGACGAAATTAGCTGATTCCATGTGCAGGGTAGACCAGATGCCAGTTTAACGTTTCATTTTTTTCGGATCAGAGAATTTCAGACCACCTTGTTCTTTCAACAAGAAATCTTGCATCAATCAAGTAATATGTTTACGTAAAAAGAGTTCGATTCTACATAGACAAAATGGCTTGGCCGTTACACCAACCCAAAAGATACTTCAACCTTTGTTATATTAAATAGGCAAAACAAGCGAGCATGACATTGAAACAGCCTGATCAATCATACATGAAAAATAGCTACATAACTGTATACAATTCAGGCTCAACATGAGAATGGTCTGACCAGAGTTGGATCTCTCCATCTCATGTCTCCGACTGCATTTCCTTTTTCCTTTTTACGGGCAAACAACAGATCACTAATAACTGCTGATTAAATCAAAATACCAAAACTAATAATAGTTGGATAAAATCATAAAAGGATGCTTCCACGGTCATGCAGGGAAAACCAGCTATGAACGATGGAAAGAAAATTGTATGATTGTCAGTTAACCAGCATGTGATCGAATCCTGCACCGGATTGAAGAGATGGTACCCGACTCACCCCGACATTGTGAAGCAACTGCTGCAGCCACCTAGTGGTTTGATCTTCCTAGAAGCATGGACAAATTGGATGAGACAAACAAGGAATATGTACAAAGAATTTGAATCAATCTTTTTTAGAAAGGATTTCAAGATAAAATGAGTTCTCATATCGAATCGACTAAATATAAACCTTAACAGCTGGACTCTACAAGATAAAATACAACTTGATTATCGTGCATTTATTATAACCAATAGTAAAAACTAGAAATATTAGTCCTTACACGAAGGCAACTACTAAAGGTCGCATCTCGTAACATATCTGGTAGGCAACTTCTTAACGCATCGCAAGCCCTGTATTATGAAGGAAAGCCTAGAGACGTCAATTTTATGCATAAACCTCAAAATGAAATTACAGAAAAGTAAAGAAAGAGGGTGAGCTAAAGGCCAAACCCAATGAGCAGATCCATGATTGACTACATTAACAAACCTTGGGTTATCTGACAATCGAAGATAACATCGAATAATATGTTTTAACAGTCGTGAAGAGGGTTGCTCAGCAAGTGCTGCAACCATAGTTCCTAGAACTCGACCAACTGCAAAAAACCGCTCTGCAGTAGTGCAAATATAGTCCAAGCCAACATCATCCAGTAGAATTTTCTGAACTATAAAAGTGGCAACCTGCCATCAAACAATCATTGTAACTTATCGAGAAAGTTAACTGGTATAGAAACCCATTTTTGGGTATTCAAGTCTGCCAAAAATAAAAAATTGTTTATATATTTGCCAGCCTTGGCAGGCTGCCCGGCTGCAGGAATCTCAAGAATGCAATTTGGTATCCTAAAACTTTCACCACTAAAACAATAAAAATAATTTCAGATGGAATACATAGGGAAGCAGAAAACACAGATAATTTAGCACAGTTGGTAAAAGTAACGAAATCAACAAACCCAACTGTTTTTGATAGTTCACTTCCCATCTCCATTGTGCGCAGACATAAGGGGATTATCTCAGTTGAAAGAAGGAAGCTGATAACTTCCGTTTCATCAACCTGCAAAAGAAAGAAAGAGCATTTTATCAGTATATTTAGAATTATTACGCAGGCACATATGAATAACAATAAAGAGATATTTGCTGGTCTGATTCCAATTTTACACTTATAATGTCTCTTTCCCACATGTTAAGTTGAGTGTTGCATGGAACAAAGATTTTTACATAAGAGACAAAGATAATATATTTAAAAAAAAAAGCCAACATACAGAACATCATCTATTGCATGCTCTCAAATCTGAGGGATCAAAACAGGGAAAGAGAAGAAAAAACAGTATACATAATTGACTTCTTCCCCCTTTCTGATACATATTACATTTTTCAAGTGGAAAGACATCACTAACTACCTAGGAGATAGAGGCACAACACTCTCGACTAAAGAGATAGGGAACAGCAAGTAACAAGGAACTCCCTAGTTCATGTAGTTCATTAAATTAGGCTCCTGATAAGCATGCAATATATAATTCCTACTGGGTAGCTGATTATGATTACAGAGTTCAAGTGACACATGCGAGGAAACCACTAATCAAATAGGGTTTTAGGATAGCCATCAAAGCTCTTTCTTTACACAGTTTATTACAAGCCTCTTTGACCATAAATTTCTAGAGGCTGCCTATGGAGTTTATAATAATATGCAGTAGTCATGCAAAGCCCCTCGTCCTATTTACAGCAGTGGGTGAACCACATCTTTTGTCATTCTCTATTTGTTTATCATATATTTTTACACAAGTCCACTCAATCCTCCCCATGATTTTAGTCATAGAGTACCACTTTACTTTTAGAATTCTTTCACACTTCTTTTGATCATGCATTTACTTCAACCTAGCATGATCTAGTTCAATGTATAATGGCATTATATTCCATGAAGATTGAGGATCACATTGCTGGAAACTCAATCAACTTAAATAAAAAGAATGAATTACCTTCACCAAGGCACCAATGACACCTAAGCTAGTAAGCCTCAAATACTCAAAAGGCCTTGATTTACTTGTTGTATTAAGGAAAGGATACAGATACAAGGGTATATGAGCTGCGAATGTAAAATAATTAATATGAGTTGTCAATTAGAATACATGCAGCTTTATACAGGTTATGTAAAAACTATTTTTCACTTGTTAAATAAATATAGGAAGCAAGAAAGTAACATCACTAATGCGAGAAAAAAAAAAGGAAAGTTAATTTATTCGAGGAGAGAGGGAAGAATGCAGACAATAATACACTTAACCACAAGCAAAAGGACCAAGCAACTAAGTGATAATGTGGAAACAAAATGTAACCTAACCCTCTACAAATAAGCTATGCATGCAACCCAAAGGGCATAAGGCACACAGGATAGAACTTTTACTTCAAGTGTACCTACAAAAGATAGATGCACAAATGTACAACATTAATTCAAGTTTTCTGTCATTAAAACCTCATGAAAAGGAACAAGAAACCAATTTACTTCAACTTTCAATATTTTTCTCTTTTAAAAAGCTCGAAGGCTAAGAAAAATGCATTAAGTTTCAATCAACAACTTTACCCCATTGCCCAACATAAAAGAGCGTTTAACGCACAATCATCATAGTTGTAAAAGTTATTAAAAGATGTTGGAAATTTTACAATAATAAACCATTAACTTATGCATATAGCAATTTGTTTACTGTACAATCAGCTACTATATAAAATTTATAGTAGTATTCTCACAGGAATTTCAGTTCAAATAAAATTTCACTAATTATAGGAGTGTTTTTAATTTATACAAAATCATTTGAAACATAACTACATTAAAAGAAGTATTATTATTCTAAAAACTGTCGCTGAAATGATAATCTCCACAAGTGAGGCTAAAGGTTTTCCATATGACCATTCAATAATTCAATGTTTTATTCCTTTTCATAAACATGCTCATGTAAACCCAGTAGAGCGAAATAACTCTATCGTTGGTGTTTAGGATAATCAGTCTAGAAAAGAAATCTTATGGTGAAAATGATATTTGAAAAAATCAGTTAAATTGTCTATTCCACGACCTCACAGTATTTCTCTTCCTATCCAACGAATACTTGACTTTTATGAGTTTAGCAACAAGAAATCTCAATATGATGACTTGTACTCTGGCACCTGGAGGCAATTCCATTTTGACGGCATGCTATTTCAGAGGACTATATCCATAATTAATCACAAAATGTTCTTATGTATGCAACTTCAAGAATTAAATTAAAAAAAGTAAATATTCAGGTCCTGTGTTAAGCAACAAAGTGGTATCCTCATCAGATAAGAATGTACCATTTAGGAATAACATCCTTGTGTCCGGATGAGAAGCCACACACTGTAAGAAAAGATGAAAATTAAGACATGTTAGCAGAAATTTAAAAGAAAAGAAAATAGTGGACTGGTCACTTGGCTTGGTTGAACCAAGAACTGAACATATGAGTCCAATAAGTATAAATAAACCGGCTCAGCCAGAAAACCGAATTAAAACGGCTTTAGGTTTTCAATTATTATTCTTTTAAGTGGTGGGAATTTGTATCTCTAGCTTTCTATTACTATATTAACTACCATAACATTTATCTTTTTCCTTTGTTATTTCATATCAATTCAATATTAAAACCATGTATAAGATGTTTAAACCCCCCCCCCACACCTTTTACTGAAACAGCCAGTTGGATTGATTGAACTGAAACTGACAGCTCTACCAGTTCAACCTCTGGTCTGAGTTTTTCTTATTTGTTCGTTAATTAACAATGCATTTGCAATGGGCTTTTTTTAGTTTTCGGGTTGGTCTGGTTGTAATTGGTGTTATTGAACTCCTGGTGTATTTGGTTTCTAGCAATAAAATAATTGAGGCACTCTTTTCCTCCTTCCAATGTCCATTGAACTATACTTGTAGCTCGATGGTTATGAAGGGGGTTTTTAACGAAGCCTCCTATTTTTATCAACAAAAAAAAATTAGCAATGCGTTTGAATTGAAAACTACCAAAATAAACAAAAGTTCCATAAAAATCCATCTTTTTTCTCCTTCAACAACAATTTAAGGGGAAAAAATGTAAAACAACCCCACAGGTAACATTAGTCAGGACTCATGAGTTACCATTAGTGAAGTGAAAATTCAATCCAACAGAAACAGTAGGAAGGCCAAAAAGACATCACCTGAAGCAGTGCAAGAGCATTACAAACTCGATTCGACTGAGCTGGGGTTAGATTTGGTGGTGAGAGAACAGGATAAATTGAGACTATCTCCTGCAAGAAAAAATGGCTGCATCAAGAAACTGAGACAGAATACATGCCTAACTATGACAATTTTTCAATTTCCAATAGGGAACTCAATTAATAAAAGGAAATATAAGAAGCATCTAGAATGTCAGAAGTGGTCATTTGACTAAAAAAGGCAAGAATCTACTTGTTTTGACCCCAAAAAAATAATGACAGAGAACTTTTCCAAGTGCAAGTTAAAGTGAAAATAAACTCAAAAATCAATTTACACCAGGTATACATTTATTTTGAAGCAAACATTTGCCTTTTCTCCCCAATTAATCATTTCTCATAAGACAAAAAACCCTACTTTATGGAACATATAAAAGATCATACGAACGAAAGGCAACATTTAATTATATACTATAAAAGATTTTCCAAAAGATTGTTGATTAAATTACCTTCGATAGTTCGAGAAGAGCGTTCTCTCGGAGATCAGGGCTGCTGAGATCAAGAACTAAATGCTCGGCCGTTGCCATTTTCCGATCCTTGTTAGCCGGGGCTCCGCCGGCAGCTTGATTAGACGCGCTGGGTCCTCCAAAAGGCGAATTCATCGATAGAGATTGAAGCAGATTTACCGTTTGCATAAATAACAGAAATAAGAAAGTAAAAACTTTCCTTTTTCAAAGAGGGAAAGTATTGTACCCGAAAAGGAAAAAAATGAGGGAGAACTTTGTTTCACATACTTCGTAAAATAAATACTTATCGCCACGTACATTACATGCGCGTGAGATTGGCAATCAATTCTGCCCAATTGAGTCTTGAGTAAACTACAAATTTAGTACTTAAACTATTACTTTAATTCATTTTGATACATATATTTTATTTTATTTTATTTTTCTAATGTCCTTTATATAAATATTCTCGGCCATATTTAATACTTAGAATCATTTTTCATCACTCCTTATATTGACGACTTTTTGATTAAACAAGCCACGATGAACTTTCCTTTTGCATGCTTAATATTTAGACGAGTCTAATGTTATTTTAACTTTTGAATTTTATGTTATGGTCCTTAAAGAATCTTATGAATATTTTAATTTAAGATATCATAGATTATAATTTAGAGAAAATAACCTCAGTGACCAAAAATGTCTTATAATATATGATTTTAACCAACTTTTTTTGGATTTGCCAAAATAACCAACTAAATCGCAATGCGATCGATAATTCGCAACGCGATCTCCTGTATCGCAAATCAGTTTCCAGATTCGCAACGCGAACTTCGACTATCGCATTGCGATTTACATATTCGCATTGCGATAGTCCAAGTTCGCGTTGCGATAGTCGAAGTTCGCGTTGCGATTTATTCCAAGTTCGTTGCGATAGTCGAATCCAAGTTCGCGTTGCGATTTGTTCCAAATTCGTTGCGATAGTCCAAAATCGCAACTACTGGTGGTATTGCATTTGTTTCTTAAGAATTTTCTCTAAAAATATAGTATTCGCGCAGACGTGTCGAAAACACGTATTACCACGACCCGAGAAGAGACGGAGGCGGCGCGCGAGAGTCCCCCTTGTTCTCTATCACTCAACAAGGAAGTGTGAAAGCCAAGCCTTAAATACCATTCCCAATAGTGTTTCCAATACTATGTGAGATTGAGCATTACCAACACTTGTTCCCAATACTATGTGGGATTGAGCCTTAAATAATGATATTATTTTTGAATGTTTTGCTTAAAATTGCAATAATCGCGATTGATTGTAGATTGACTTTTAATTATGACATATTTAATCGTATAATACTAATGCAATTGGTTGCTGATTCAGTTGTTTTAAGGTGCATGATTGTTAATTGTTTCCTGAATAATCACATTGTATTGGAAACAAGTGTTGGTAATGCTCAATCCCACATAGTATTGGAAACACTATTGGGAATGGTATTTAAGGCTTGGCTTTCCCACTTCCTTGTTGAGTGATAGAGAACAAGGGGGACTCTCGCGCGCCGCCGCTGCCACTGTCCGTCTCGTCTCGGGTCGTGGTCGTGGTCGTGGTCGTGGTCGTGGTAATACTTGTCTTCGATACGTCCGTGCGAATACTATATTTTTAGAGAAAATTCTTAAGAAACAAATGCAATACCACCAGTCATTGCGATTTTGGACTATCGCAACGAATTTGGAATAAATCGCAACGCGAACTTGGACTATCGCAACGAATTTTGAATAAATCGCAACGCGAACTTCGACTATTGCAATGAATTTGGAATAAATCGCAACGGGAACTTCGACTATCGCAACGAATTTGGAAAATCGCAACGCGAACTTCGACTATCGCAACGAATTTGGAAAATCGCAACGCGAACTTCGACTATCGCAACGAATTTGGAAAATTGCAACGCGAACTTCAACTATCGCAACGAATTTGGAAAATCGCAACGCGAACTTCGACTATCGCAACGCGAACTTGGACTATCGCAATGCGAATATGTAAATCGCATTGCGATAGTCCAAGTTCGCGTTGCGATAGTCGAAGTTCGCGTTGCGAATCTGAAAACTGATTTGCGATACCGGAGATCGCGTTGCGAATTATCGATCGCATTGCAATTTAGTTGGTCATTTTGGCAAATCCAAAAAAAGTTGGTTAAAATCGTATATTATAAGACATTTTTGGTCACTAAGGTTATTTTCTCTATAATTTATATAGTATCTATTGCGATTTATCTTAAGTGTCAAACTTATTTATATATTTTGCCCTTAGTATATTGATTTTGATAATCATTACAATTTATTTAAACTAATTCATTTAAATAACACTATTGTATGATACTTATCTACGAACAATTCATCGGACTAATATAAAGATAAATTTATTTTAAATTTATTTGTAAATTAAATTCACTTAAAATATTTTTAATTATATTTATAAATGTAAAATCATAACTTGATTAAAGAACAAAAAATTTAGTTTCAGACAACACATAATTAATACAAATAGAACAGGATTATGAATCATTCGTTAAATATAAATAATTCAATTATTACTTTATATAATAACTATTTTCACAAAATATTTACAATTGAACTTTAAAATAAAAATAAACAAATAAAATTTTTAAAAAATACTGATACAATTTAAAAATGTCAAGTGTCATGTGCTTAATGATGTTATAAAAAAAGTATTATTTGAAATTTTGGATATTAATAAATCTTCAACGAGTTTTTCAATGTAAAAGTATTTTTCTAGTATCATAGGTTGACTCAATATTAATATTTTAAACATGATTTTTTTTATTTAAAAAGAGTTGTTCGAGAGTACTTTTACGTTTCAAACGGGATATTGAACTAAAAGCACTTCCATATACATTATTGAAGAAAAAATCTTTAAGTATCAAATTGAAAAAAGAAAATAAGTTCAAGAGTTAAATTGAATTTAACCTTTAAATAATAAAAAAATATTTTTGGATACTATTTTGTTAGACCCGGGTCCAATGTGCAATTCGGGTTATATAAAATAAATTCCCAAAAAAAATTGAAAAGTTCTTTAAGGTTCTTCACAATTTACTTACAGAGTTTGGAAGTTAGCAGAGCAAACGATGTGGAGATCAATGGCGGCAAGGTCCACGCAGTTGGTAGGACGGGGATTTCGTGCTTCCCAAATGAACCAGGTTCTATCTGAAACTCGTAAACCTTTCAATTCCTTTCCTAAAACATCATTCCCGCCATTCCATCGCTTTTTCTCCCATTCATCTTCCAATGAATCGTGGGATCCCGAGTTGGATTTTATTGCTAGGATTGAAACTAACGCCGCCCAAGTTCCCTCTTTTGAAGGTCTCGCCAGTGATGAGACCCAGATAGACAGTTTTATCCCTGGAGATTCCAAAAACGACATGGAAGAAGAAATCCAAGATTATGAGCTTGATGCTAACAGGTTAGAAAATGTGTTGTCTTTGTTGCAAAGTAAAGTTGATGGGTCTTTGGAGTCTAGTCTTAATGTTATGGCTTTGGATTTGCGTGTGTTGAAAGTCAAAGGAAATTAGGCAGCACATGAGTTGCTAAATGGGCGGCTGCAAATGGTCCAAATTAGGCAGTCATTTTAGTTGAAAATGTGTAAGGGTAAATTACCCAATTTACTCTCTAAACTTTAGAATATTTACAAGATTAGTCCTTAAGCTTCAACTATAAATACCCTAACCCATTTAGCTTCAAAATTATCCCCAAATCATTCTAGCTCTCTCTCAAGTGTTTTTGGTAAACACCTGTAAATTTTCTCCCTTTAGTAAAAGATCTGCAACAGTCCAGAGATGTAGGTATAATTGGCTAAACTCCGTTATCAATTTTGAGTATTATTTTTCCGCTTTTATTTCACATTCTCACTAATCTGATTATAGGAAAATTACTCGGTTATTTCCCAACAACTGGTATCAGAGCTTTTGATTGTGAATTTTGTCAATTTTTCTATGATATTACTATTCACATGAATAGTGAATTTCGTGAATAGTGAAATTTGGTCGACGATACGAGCTTGTCGACGGAGGTGTTCTAATATACAGTGATTCACATAAATTGTCAGAAACGATCCAAACGAAGCCAGATTCGAGTAGGAGCAATGGTTGCAGACGAAGGGAATGTGAAAATTGAGAAGTTGAATGGTGCGCTCAAGACCTTCTTGGAAGGACTTAGACCAGGGGCAATGCTCGGGGGAGAGCAAGGTGATGCCGAGAGACTTTTGGAGGCCATAGCTGTAGTCGAAAAGCTGACTGAGCTTGCAGATGTCAAGTCAAGTAGCGCTGTGTTGTCCATGCCCATGCCCAGAGATAGTGGCAATAATGGGGGAGACCGGAAAAAGGTACAGCGGGGAGATGGTAGAGGAAGCTCTTCAAATGGCCAATGTGAACCATTGACTGTTCGTAGCCAAGGAAAGTCATCAGGAAAGAATGGCAAGGCTATGTCCGGTGCGAAGAAGAATGTGAGCAAAGAAAAGTTAAAGTGCTACTTCTGTGATGATCCTCATTTGATTAGAGAATGTCCCGAGAAGCGTCGCCTTACAACCATCATGAAGAGGTTGAGAGAAGGAGAAGTAGCAGGAATTGGCGCGGTTGCAAGTGTTAAAGCTCCCAAGCCAGGGAAAATACTTGGTCCGATTGAGGGGATCAATGCGCCAAGCAAGGAACAAGACATAGTACGACTACAAGATCTCAAGTAGTTAATCCAAGATCGAGACGTGGCGAGACTATGGGTGTCAAAGCAGTCGAGCACAGAAAAGTACCCGGTGCGATAGCAAGAGATAAAGTCGTCAAGTCTAGGGTGCAAAGTGAGCAAGTCCGCTCACAATATGCCAGAATAGAGGCGTGGTCCAAGTTGAGGCGTCTCAGGCATAAAGGGACACTTAAGGAGTATGTGAGTCGATTCAGAAGACTCATGCTCAAAGTCCAAAGTTTGACTGAAGAAGATGGGTTCTTCACCTTCATGTTCGGATTGAAGCCATTGGTGAAGAAAGTGTTGGAGCGAAGGGAAGTCAATGACATGTCTAAAGCCTTGACAACCACCGAGTCCATCAAATAATTTGGAGACAAGAAGAACAAGACTTCCAAAGCAAAGTCGAAAACCGAGGGTAGCGGCAAGAGATTCCGTAACGAAGGCAAGTCATAGGATGAGGAATGTTGTTCCTCGAGTGGTAGAGAAAGTCCACTCAATGATAAACCAGATGGTGGA